CAAAGAGCACGGGATTCGACTGGCATACAGAAGATGCCCCACGATTTTCCGCATCCTAAGAAACGATAAAGACCCTCCCGATCGCACCAGACTCCCCGGTATCTACTCTATCCCGCTCCATGACAATAGACAAAACGCAGAGCTACTGTACATCGGCTCAACCAAACGCTCTTTAAGCACCCGCCTACGTGAACACCAAGCGGATATCCGGCACGGCAGGCTGACCACAGCCCTAGCCACTTATGCATCCGACCCCGAAGTCGAGGTGCACTTCGAGAAGGCTACCATTATTGTCAACACGCCCCACCAACAGCAGCTTAGATGGCTGGAAGCCGCGGCTATCCACAACGCCGACCGGCTAGCTACCTGCATTAACCGGAAAGAGGAACTAACCTTGTCTCTGGCCTGGCAATCGCTATTGGACGCCAACCCACCGCTTCCTCCCCCCGCCGCACGACCGCACACACCGGAAGAGACCCATCCCCTCGAAACCGACACCCGATCCTAGAGAATAATATACACTCCGTCCGGGGAATTCTTTCAGTTGACCTGAAGAAGAGCGATTGGAACGCTCGAAAACGTTTGTCAGGATATTTTAACATATACGCACAGAGCACCGGTCACAGGTTCCGTAGTGTGACGTCATTTTCATCCCGGTGCTGTGGATAGAATAGTTTCTGCATTTATGTATTATTTTCTTTAATAAATTTTAGAATGTACAGTTTGTTTTAGTGCTGTGCTGTTACTTAAGCTTTCTCCTAGCATGTACTGTTACTTAAGCTTTCTCCTATTTTGACATATTAAAAAGTTGCATTTTTGTCTTAACATAATAAAAATATTTTTAAATTTATACTTTCTTTTAATAGATTTTTCTCATTTGTAATAAGTTTAAGAATTGAGGACTTAAAAATTTTAAATTTTCTAAATCATTTACACTTGCTTCTTACATAAGAACTGAATACTGATCTAGAAAGTGCTAAATTTTAAGCACTGCTGCATTATCTGAAAATACATTTTTGTGTTGTTACTTGTCATCTATGGAAAATGACTCATGCCTGCAACTTTTATTATTCAAGATGTTGAAAACTGTCTAAAATGGTAGATATTTTAATGATGGTTAATAAGTACAAATGTTCAAAATGGCTTCATTTGAGAACTGATTTAGACTCACGCCTGGTCTCCCATAGTGGTATGCTGACACATTACTGCTTCAACCATCCAGTTATGATGATTTAGTTGCATTTCACATTGTCTATTCAGTTTTTGTAAACAGTGCAACAAACTTTTTATAACTTCATAATTATAAAAATATTGAGTTGGTTTATATATAAGTTTTTACATTCATAGCATGATGAATATATCTAACAAGTAAGCTTATAATCATTCAGAACTCATTATTAACTCATTCAGAACAACTTTTAAATATACACATATTGATGATGCAAATCAGTAAATTTTTATTTAAAATAGAAAATACTTTTATCCTGGAATATATTTAAAGCTTGTTCTATTGTTTTCAAAAATTAGAATATTTGAAAATTAAATATATTTTAAACTTATTCAAAATTTACATACGAGTAACAGATAAAACTGTTCACAAATTACATAAATCAATTAAAATACTGTAGTAATTTAAATATGAATATTCTGATTTTTGTAAAGCAACTGAAAATATCTTAAATATATTCTGTAGTAAACATATTTTTTATTTACAGCAAAAAAAATATTTTTAATATTAATTAATAAATATGTGTGTATTTACAGGATGATTCATAGTGTATTATAGACACTTTAAATATTTATTATTAAAACTACTCATTTATTTATTTAGTTTTAAATTTTATTTTAGACACGTATGCAGAGTCTTCGGCCTAATCCAAAGGCTGATTATCGTACCTTTCCAGAAGGTCTTTATAAAATGATTCGTTACGAAGGCGTTTTTAGACCTGTCCGAGGTATGTCTGCTGTTGTTACTGGTGCTGGACCTGCTCATGCTCTATATTTTGCTTGTTATGAAAAATTAAAAAGAGTATTAAGTAAAACTGAACATGGAAATGGACATCCTTTAGCACAAGGTAATAAGTATTAAAATTTTATTTAGTATTAAGAATATTGCAATGTACTTTGTTTCCTGTAAATATCTGTGATGATGCCACTTCTCTTTAACTTGATCGTGATGTATTCGGAAAACTCCTTTGTGAAAATAATTTTTAAAATCTTAAAAGTTTTTAACATTATTAGTATTCTGAATTAATTTTAATTTTGCATAGTGCCTTGTGACAGTACCATAGACAGTGAGTTTTTACCAAGACATGCTATCCTAATTAATTTTCACTATATATATATAATTTGAATTTTTAGGAGGAAAAAGAATATGCTTAGTGTTTACGTTAACAGTAACACAATTTTAAAAATTAAATTTCTGTAAAACTATTTTATTCATTTTTATCTATACTAATATTATAAAGAGGTAAAGTTTGTAAGTTTGGATGTAGGAGGTAATCTCTGAAACTACTCATCTGATTTCAAAAATTCTTTCACCAATATTTAGAATGGACCTTCAGATCTCTTAAGGATCATCTCCCAATTGGGATCCCTTTCCCTGCCCCGCCATTGGCACCACAGGGTTAAGAGACTATGTCTTTTCCTTCGTCTTCGATCTGAAGGGTTTCTGCCACAGATTACAAATCGGCAAAGCGGGGGCCCCGTGATGCATCCTTCGGTTGCCCGTCAACATTACCAGCCCCAGCTCTCATACTTGACATAGCTTTAGATTGTGCAGTTTATACTGCACTTTGGTCCACTAACTAAACCTTTCCAGCTCATACTTGCAAAGAAACTTTGCTTTAATAAACATCGGACAGCGGGGTCCCCTTCCCTACAAGAAAAGGGGCCCAGCCTAGTGCATCCACCAGGCAATCAGATCATAAATTTATGATCATTTCCATCAATTCCTTTAGTTTCTTTAAGTTTCTTTTACTAGCTGCTAGCGTTCGAAGTGCTTGTTCAGGCGGCCGAGACCAGTTGACTTGGTCGGCCCCTCGGCGGAAATCCTCGGTGAGAGGACAGTCAAGTACATAGTGTCTCGCGTCACCGCGAGGACACCCACAGGAGCAGCTACCACCTCCTTGCCCGAAACGGGACTTGAAGTGGGGAACCTCCCGTGGCTGGTCAGTATCTGTGTCATAAGACTGTTGCAACACACCGGAGTGAGGCAAACTACAGGCACGAAGGCATAGGTTGACCTACCTACTGTACTTTGAGTCCAGCGCTCTTGCCAGATGGTCATCGATTGTTTCCGCAAGGTACTTTTTATATAAACAGCCGAGGGTTCGACCGTCCTCGTTATAAATGGGCCACTAGCTCCCGCTTTTGCTAGCTGATCGGCACGTTCGTTACCCAGGATCCCGGTGTGGCCTCGGACCCATCGCGAGGCAACATGTCATTTGTGTCTTGCCCTCAGCACCATGCTCCTGATCTCATGTACCAGCAAATCGTGATGGTACCCGTCGTTCAAAGCCTGTAGCAATGACTGGCTATCAGAGTAAACCGTGACTGGCTCTGGACCCGGATGTAATAGGATCCACTAATGGACCTTCAGGGTGGACATAGGCTGTATATTATTCCATTAAACATTCATATAAATTAAAAAATATCATCTAGGTAAGCATTATATTTTTGGTGGCAAGGGGCAAGACACATACATATACGAGATAGGTAACTGCGCGGTGCAGTTGCATGGTTGGCAAGATATGCAGTGCATGTGTCCAAACTTCTATATTAGATGTCGAAATTCCCCCTGTGGGGGAGAGGAACAAAATTAAGGCTTACCATGAAGCACTCGGCTTCTATTATACTATTTTAGATGCAGTTTTTTGCATTTTTGATTGCGTTTTATTAGGTACCCTATTAAAGAGAATGTGTACACTAAGAAGAGATTTTTCGAAATTCCTTCCCATGGGGAGTGTTACACATTTATAATAGATACATTTTGAGCCACAGCCAACGTGTGGCCAGGTACTGCTAGTTTATAAATAAAATAAATATGCTAAAGTTAGCATTGCGAGTTGAATAAATATACAATATACAAGAAAAAACCTAACACTTTTGCATTCTTTATTAAAGACTTGCATGTTTAATAAAAAATGCTTGAAAAATTTTAAATTAATGATTTCATCTTTATTAAGTTTTTTGTTTCTGTTCAAATTACTTATTCCTGAAGGAAGTCTTCTAATATAACAAAAAAAATTATTCAGTTTTTCATGTACAGATATTCCCTGTATAACATTGGGTTAGGTTTCAAAAGTTAGTAAAAGTGTACTATTCTTTTTTTGTAATTAACAGAAATATGCTTATTAAAGCAATTGATAATTATCTAGCAATTACAGTCAAAAGTATTATACTTTAATATAAATTTTTTTCTTCATTGCTAAACACCATTAAATGAAAATGTTTTCTTTTTGGCAAAATCATCTGAGTTTTCCTGTTGACCTTAATCTGAAGTATCAATAATATCTAGACTTTCTATACTTTTTTCATTAAATCTGATATTTTCATGTGCTTGCATTTGTGTAAGAGATCTTTAAAAGTTTAAATTAAAATTTATTACTATATAAAAAGACTAATCTATAAAAGCAAAACACAGTAGCAGTCTTATGGGTTTGCTTAGAGCAGTGTTTTTCAACCTTTTTGAATACGCGACCCCTTTACAAGTTAAAAAATTCTGGCGACCCCCATAGGGCCATATTAAAACTATATCAGTGATTTTAAAAACTATGTATTTAATTTTTTCTCTGTTGAAACAAATTATTGTTAATTAAAGTGAAAATTTCAGAAGAATCGACAATAACTTAACACACATAAAGTAGGAAACTTCCTTTAATTATAACATTCGGCACAGGAAGATGTTGACGTTTTTTTTTTGTTTAGGATCAGAATTTTCAGCTTCTACGTTTCTACTTTTTATTTCTTTTTGCAGATCAGCTCAACACTTTTTCCGCTATCATTTTCTGGGGTGGGCCGTAATTCTCGCTGAAATTGTAGTTTTTTTTAATGTAGTGTAGGACCTACAAACACTTGTCTTTTTCTTTTACCCGC